CGGGACACCGACTATCTTGACCGAGAATTATTGTGGTGTTCCTCGGTCCCTCTGGGAAAATTCCTGGATAATACTGCCATGTGATAGAGTTTTGATTGGTAATTTGATTTACTGAACACTTCGAAATCGTAACTGTACTTAGTCTTCTCAGTTTGCTGTGTCTTCACCAGTCGTTCCCCGATAACGGTTTCCAAAACCGGAGATCCCTCAACTTCATTGTTCACGACTTCAAGTCCTCGCTGGCTGTCGCCTATCTCGCTGCAGCTCCAGAACTGAACTAACCGGCTTCTAACCGCCGACATCTTAACTCGGCTCCACTCCGCCAATTCCCAGGCTGTCGCTTATCTCTCACAAACCCCTGCTCTTCACACTGCCGTCTCAAAATTCTCTCGTAATTGCAGCTGCTCCTCGTTATATAGCCTCGACACGGTCCGCATAGAAAACATCTCTATCAACAGTTCTTCTCTTGTTGAGTCACGTAGCTATCGCATGGCCCGCGTAGAGAACACCGCTTCCGAGTTACTCCAAAGTTGAGTGTTACTAATCTGTTGCGGCCATTACCTAGCAACTGCCGTTGTTTACAGAGCCCTTACCTAGCATCGGATGTTACACAGCTGTTTGTTTCGCTGTGGTTGTCTAACGACGGGTCTAAATGATACAATATCTTAAACTGGGTCAGTACTCTATCTTTCAACATAATTCGGTTTCCAATTCAACGTTATATAATTTGAGATATGGACAGGTCAGTTAAAAATACAGTATAAAGGAAGACAGATATCATATTAATATTGTCTGGTGCCATGTTTGAATATTTACACAGTTTTTTGCCCGAAAAAGTTCAGCAGAATATAACAGACTTTACGTGTGTTACTTTTTGTAAGTTCAATATATAAACACACAGACTACAGACGCTGTCACAATGTTAGGAAAGAATGAAGTGTCGACACAAATATTGCTGTTACATCTCAGCGTTCCTCGGTGCTGACTCACGAGCACTGCTACTTCTCGGTCTTATTCCAGCATCTTCTGTTTTGATATTCAGATGCCTGTGTGGGTTTTTCATTACAAACTTTATTCCACAGATGCGCGAGTAAACAGCACAGGAAGCTGGGTTAAAGAAATAACTGGAAGTGAAAAATTAAAGAGTAAGTGGTAAAGTTTGGAGTGGGGAATAATCAGGAGAAACGAAGCAGAAAATATAAGATCACCAAAGTAAGAATAAGCAAAAGATATGTTGACACTGTCCGTGAAAATGACTATACATTGGGTTTGGATTGATTGACAGCCTATAAGCCACAACTAAAAATAATTTTAACACTTCCACTGATCTAAACACTGCATTTCACTACCGCAAACACTAACTCGTCTGTGTTTTCACTGGTCGTTGCTTGGTAGCGGCGTCTAACAATGCAACTCGGAACTCTTAACTGCCGACTTCAGGCTCATGGCTTACGACTCACGACTTTTCAAGTTCGTTTGTCCCTATCCTGAGCCAGATGAATCCAATCCATATCAACCCATCCTATCTCTTCAAGATCCATTTTAATATTGTCCACTCACCTACGCCTCAGTCTTCCCAGTGGTTTCTTTCCTTCTGGCTTTCCCATTAATATCCTATACGCATTCCTCGTCTCCCCCATTTGTGCTACATGCCCTGCCACCTCCTCCTCCTTGACTTGATCATTCTACGAGTAATTATACTTGGAGAAGAGTACAAGTTATGAGGCTCCTCATTATGCAGTTTTCTCCAACCTCCTGTCATTTCATCCCTCTTCGGTCCAAATATTCTCCTGAACAACCTGTTCTCAAACACCCTCAGTCAATGTAAGTAAGTAAAAGTAAAGCTAACCCTGTTACAGACCGTGAAGGTCCATAGGGTTGTGAGACGTTGAGGGTCCCACGTTATTTAGACAATCGGCTCAAAGATGGCGGTAAAGTTATGTTCCTCCTTAATGCCAGAGACCAAGTTTCACACCCATACAGAACCAGAAGAAAAATTGTTGTTTTGTATATTCCAATTTTTATGTTTTTGGACAGCAGACGAGAAGACAAATGGTTCACAATTGAATGGTACAGTAGCAAGCATTACCCGAGTTCAATCTCCCCTTAATTTCCTCCTCAATCAGGTTTCGATCTGTTATCGTCGTTTCCAAATATCTGAACTGTGCCACATTTTCAAAATATCTGTTTCCTACCTTTATGTCATAGTTTTGCCCTACATTTTGGTGACGAGACAGCAACATGCACTTAGTTTTCTCTGTGTTTACTTCCAGACCAACCTCCTTATTTGCGTCAATTAAAGTTTGTGTGGTTTTCTTTACCTCCCAGGAAGATTCCTGGTACTTATTTGTGTTAGAGGCTGAGTCGACCCCAGAGCCATAGCGCAGCTGGACGGATTAGGTTGAGTGCGACGTAGGAAGAATCCTGAAAAGTTTTATTATTTAGAATTCATCGTCCTATATGACGAATACAGATTTTAGTCATTTTAGAATGAAGACATTATGGCATGCAGTACAATAGTTTAACGTGCATAAAGACACCTGAGGATGGCACATTAGTGCTGAAACATGTAGCGTGGAAGTGAAGAATAAGGTGAAAAAGTGTACACACTGTAAGACGGTCAGCATAAACCATGGACATGAATCAGTGTAACAGGACGCTAAAATATAACATAATTTGAAATAAAATCCACCTCAACGGGACTCGAACCCGAGACCTCCCGGGATTGTAGCACAGTGCCTCAACTAAGCTACTGCGTGGACTAGGATGGTAAGAGGGTGAAACAGAAATAAATTCAGACCTACCTTGCATTGAAACTGCGTACAACATTAAGAGAAGCACACAGATTTATAAAAACTGACACTTGTATGGAAGTTTCTATATTCAGTTTCTACCTCTGGCAAATATTATTTTCAACGGAGTATGAGCAGATGTGACACAGATTGCGATGTTCCCCTTGGTCTGTCCTCTCGTTGCCATGAAAACGAACCACGATAACAACTGACAGTCAACAGCAGTTCTTTAGCGGTTGTTCGAAAAATTTCTACTGACATCAATGCATCACGTCGTGGCAAATTGGAGCGAGGTTATCTTCGTTCTGTTCAAAACACAATGAATACAGAGAAACGTATTTCAAGGAAACAATTACTGTCAAACGAATGAGAAGCACACACAGGATATGTTTTATTGAAATTTTAAATATGCAGTACCATCACACATAACATGGGGAGGTCTTTTGTTCGAATCCTGCTCGGATTCGGCGATCCTGACTGATCTATTTCGTAAGCATTCCAGGGAATTGTCGGGATTGACCTTCCATTATGTCATGACGCTTCCTTCTAAATCCCTTCAATTCATTATTCATCTATCACCATACCATTCGAAGTACAGTGTAGCTGACAGTGCAGTAAAATAACCCTACTCCAAACAGATAATGTAACGTTTAGCCGTTGCCATGCAATGACCGCGAGATATACCAGAGCCGTTTCTAGGCAACGACTCGTTAAACTCCTACAGTTGAGTTGACAGTTGACGAGAGTTCTACACGTGCAGCTGTGACAAGGGGTCCTGAGCGCGCGAAGCTGAGGACACAGCATGCTGGAAAATGTTTAGCAGGTGCTGTGGTGATTTGTGAATTGTGGATATCAGCGATAGCGTTGTAACTGCTTGTAGTTCGGAGTGGTGTGTTGGTCCATACTCCGGTCTATAATCACCCCTAAATCGTGACAAGACGTAAGTTATCCCTACTGATTCTATGAATGTCATATTTTTCTAAGGTATTTAAATGTCTAGCTTTCTTTCCTGTTGCATGATATTACGGTCTGTCTTCAAATTACGGAGTCAGGTGACTGCGAAAACGCCGCTCTGAGTAAAATACTGCCCTTCATTAGAAGTGTAGGTTTGTGGAAGGGTTGAAACAGAGGGGATGCACAAAGGATCATTGAAGGTAGCGGTACATTGACCGGTCTAGGTCTACCCCTTATTCATTCATTCATAGTTAATATTATGCAGGTAACTAGAAACAGCCGGTCACGGTAGCCGAGCGGTCTAAGGCATGTACTGTCTTCTCTCGCTTGGAAACCGGGATCGTGGGTTCGGATCTGTTTCCTGTGAGGTACGAACTGAATTCTTATATATTATTCTTATACACTGCCGGTCACGGTAGCCGAGCGGTCTAAGGCATGCACTGTCTTCGCTCGCTCGGAAGCCGGGATCGTGGGTTCGGATCTGTTTCCTGTGAGGTACGAACTGAATTCTTATATATTATTCTTATACA